AATAATTTAAAGTGAATAATTTATCGGACCTTATATTGTTAATAAGTTTACGATAAAAGATGTGACGGCATTACAGTGACTTCATTAGCTGACATTATTGAGAAATCGAATGTGTTTTGGTGGAGATCGGTACTACTGATAAACTATGAGTTCTTCTTGACAGTATTGACATGTATAAATCGCATTTTTAAAATTGAATAAAACATGATAATTTGAAAGGAGTTTGGTTTGGATTGTTGGCCTCACGGGGGAAAGGTGTAAGCCCCCGGAGACCGTCCCAATTTCAACCAGCAAGCTGGATGTAATCGGGCTATTCAAAAATAAATGTGAAATAGACTTTGCAAAAAATTGCAAAAACCAGCTTTCACACTGATTAGAACAGATACTACACTTGATCTTAGCCAAAAGGCCGAGAAGGTATGACTTTTGTTATCAAAAGTCGATATTATTATACGTTTAGAAAACCGTCACGAACATCAATTAATTAATTACTTTAAGACAATTTTATTGATTATAACAATATTAGTAGATTAAATTAGATATTTGAGATTAGGCATTCATTACTCATTACTTCATTACCCTTGTTTACTAAATACAATACGCAAGCTATATCAGATCGTCCCATTTCTTACATCAAAAGTTGACTAATTCGCAATAGTTTAGCAAATATGGATATCTACGCGTTTTTATAGCAGTACTTACATAACGTGATGAAATAGAAATTTATGTATATTAACACCTAAATGCCCCTACAAGCATTTCCATTTGACGGCCTTGTTTTAAAGTAAGACAAGAGCTTTACAAGACCCGGTTCCTGCACTGCACTTGTGCTGGTGTTTGGCTAATCTCAATAATCCTTTCAAAACCGGGTACTCAAGCCGTGCGCGTGCCTAACCTTCTCGAGGTGGTGCGGCAAACATGGCAACCCAACGTAGCATGTGTTCTAGTACGATTCACAGATACACAGTAATGACGGAGTAATGCAGTCATGTCATTTTAATGGAAGATCCGGCCCAGCGTCCAGTATAAAGCAGAAACGCCCCTTACTGTTCGTTTTTTTGCCCTACATGGCATGCCATAATCTCTTATAGAAAAAGTGACTTCTTACACTATTGCAAAATGTCAAGCCGTCGCGTTCACTTTCTAATTGAGGACGTGCTGTTTCCTATTCAGCTTAAAAATTTTGTCGGTTTTTAAGCCTGGCACACAAATTTGTTCAGATAAAAACCTTTCAGATGATACGACTTGCATCGCAAACAAATTTCTCAGATCTATCATGCGATGTATTCTATAACGCATGTCAGGCTGATTGTTTATGAAAACACCGCAAATGTCACCTGCAGACTTATTTTTGTGTTTCGTGTTTTAAGTTGGACAATCTATTATCGATGACGATAGACGTGAAAGAGATGTGACAGAACAGCATCTCTGTCAAACGCTCGTCATTCCAGACAATCATAAAAGCGTGAAAGATGACATGGTATTCGATAAACGAGCAACACAAGCTGCCACTTAAAAGACGGACGACTTCTTCGTTTATCATTGTAACAACTATAAACATTGGACTCGTGGAATTACGTTACAGCGAATATTCACAATACGTACCAAGGTGTATAGTACCTACCGACGTGTATGTAGTGTGATCATTCGAGTGAGTCACTTCTTCCTGACGGCTATAAAATGCGTAAATATCCCAATTTGCTAAACTATTGCGAATTAGTCAACTTTTGATGTAAGAAATGGGACGATCTGAT